GTACACATTGCAAACTTCATAGACTATAAACACAGATTGATTAGCAGGCGTTAATTACCAATGGAAAGTGGAACTACGGGGTTAAAGGAGGGTTCTTTCTTTTCATGACACCTTTTTGTAGTCGAAGTTTTTACCATGAGTATTATTGTTATAAGTCAATAAGTTAGTTTTATTTTTATATTATGCATAAAAGCATCCAGGAAGGACAGCCAAAAGAGAATCAGAAACACAGAAAATTGAAGCTCAACCTTCAATATTATTGAGGAATGAAAGCAGAGAGGACAACGAGACAAGACAGGATAAGTGATTGAGTGTGGAATTCTGCAGCCTTTACAATGGGAAGATGAGCAACCCGCATTCCACTATGAGCTGCTTAGGAGTTGTTCTTGACGTGGTTTAGGAAGATTTATAGATGCTGTTCACAACATTAAGTGCTGAAAGTGTGCAGACAACTTTAACAAAGTGCCAAATATCACAAGGACAACGGAGACTTAAGTGGCTCATAATAATAAACCGTGAAAGTGAAAAGAAACAGAAGGAGGCCAAAGGGGAAATGAAAGAGGATGGTTGTTGGGCAGATTTTTAGAGTAAAAGAACTCAGGGACAGAACGTAAAGGAAGACTTTGAGAGACTACCCAGAAAGGGGTATTTTATTTTTAATTTTTATTTATTTATTTATTTATTTTTAAGATTTTCATTGGGGAATTGGGGAGAGGGGAACAGACAAGTTGCTGTCCTTTTGTTCTTCAGTCCAGTTGTGGAGGACGTTGCTTCACTGGCCCANGAAAGCTAAGTGAAGCTAGAAAAAGACCAGAGAAATGGAGAGTGGAAGGTCTTATGAGGCCAGTGCAGCCTTATTTGGTATTTGATGATCCAGTGAATACTGAACCAAAGACAAAAATCACAGCACATGAAGGTGCAACCCAAAATGGTGATCACCAAACAGGAGAAATACTATAAGTTTTTTCTGCTTTGTTTGAATTTTTAATCTTAGAGGTGCTACAGGATGGAGTAGAGAGGATAAACCATTTCAGCCCAGGGACTGAAATCATTGATCTAAGGATGAGTATTCAGGAAGTCAATAGGACATCATAAATGTTTAAGACTTAGTTGACAGTGAAGTTCAAATGGGCAGGTCAAGAATGTTTAAAAATATCTATAGATCTTGCTTCTAGTGCTGGGAATAGGAGAATAGAAAAAGGTGACCTTCCTGGAAGAAGTATGAGGATTGTGGTACTTTAAAAGGCTCAGTTTCTATTAGATTAAGAGAACAGGCAGGGCTGG